CAGAATTCCCCAGCCGGGGAATTCTGGGAGTTGAAGTCCCCTCGTCTTAAAGTTGCCAAGTTTGAAAAACACTGATCTAGCCCAACTCTCTGCTATTAGAAATTCACAATCACAACGTCCCTGACAGATGGCCAGGCCACTTTCCTGGGAATTCTGCAGTTTTGGCCCAATTTGTTTTTTCTTAACTAAATGGAAGGTAAGGACTTAGTTTGCAGCAAGACACCGCTGTGTTTTTAGGTGATGTTCCCTTCTTTGATTCCCTAGGAAAAGAGGGGAAAACGGGCTGTTTCTCACAGATGAAAAGATCGGATTCTCCTCCCCCTCACTTTCTTTTCAGAGAGGTTTCCTTCGGTAATAAACGGTCATTGTCTCGGCAGCTGCTTTAGGAAGGCCAATGAGGGCATTTGGTCCTTGCATTATTTTGCAAACACTCTGCAAAGAAAATCAGGCTGAAAATGCCTCTCTGGTCCTCCAAGAGGAGGTTTTTCATCTCCCCAACAATTTAAAATAGCCTTCTCTTTTCCTGAATTTTCCATCCTTGGAAATTCAGACTTCTCAACTATGGGTTTTCCAAGTGTTGACTAATTGATTGATTGATTGATTGATTGATTAGGTGCCATCAAGTTGGTGCCAACTCCTAGCAACCACCTAGGTAGATGTTCTCCATGATGATCTATCCTTAACCTGGTCCTTCAGGTCTTCCAATGGTCTCTCCAAATGGGCTTCAAATGAGATAATTAATGCCATTTGCATAATGACCATGGATGTGCGTGATGTCCCCTGCAGATCCCCCCTGCTTCCTTAAATCCCACTGCAGAATTTGAACACACCTGGAGAACCCCCTTTGGGGAAGCCTGGAGTCAAGCAATAACCAGGAAGATCTCTTTCAATGGGCTGTTTCAAAAATCATCTTGGGGGAGGATCTGGATGGGACGAGGGTGTCAAGAAGAAATGCTGCAAGCTGTGATGTAGCCAGGATCAGGGCAGCTGATTAGCCAGGCTACAATTTCTCTCCCCAAATTGGTGCTCCTGGGAGCACAGACTATGTCAGTGTTCCTCAAGCTCAGCCACTTTAAGATGTGTGGACTGCAACTCCCGGAATTCCCTATGCTGGCTGGGGGATGCTGGGAGTTGGAGTCCACACATCTTGGAGTGGCTGAGGGTGAGAAACACTGGTCAGTGGTGGCAAAAATCAAGAGTCTGTTAGCGCCTTTATTCAAAGGCAGAAGCTTTGCTAGCTGGAAAAGGGGCTACCAGATTCCTTTGGATTCTGGGGGAGCCACTTGGGCCCGCTTGTCGTTCTAGAGGAAACATTTTATTAATGCATTTATTTGACCATACTTATAACCCGCCCAACCACAAAGGTTTTGCACTGGGGCTTCAGCTACAGGGAAGGCCGGCTCCCCCTGGATGACAGGCCCAGCTAAAATGAGTTGGGACGTTTGTGTGTTACAGAAACTCACCATTGCCTCAGCAAGTTGTGCGACCCAGACATTGAGGCTGTGATCACACAACATAAGGAAGTTTCTGAGTGTTGACCTTGGCTCTCTTTTTGTGGCTTAGTAGGTTAAGCAGTCTGGCTGGTTAATTTATCATTCATTATATTGTGCGAAAATGGGCAAATTCAGTAATTGGGTAAAATGAGTCATAGGAATGCAGCCAATATGGTTTGGATACAACGCGTTACGTGAATTTAGCCACTGTGTTTTGCTAACCTGAGATTTAGGTTTGGTATGTTGTGCAATGCCTGCTGTCAGACATTTCTTTTTGGCTAGGCAAGAAACCGCAAGAACAGGCTTCCAAGGACACCAAAGCTCTGACATGTGGATTTATTGCAGCAAAGCTCATGAAGCCATGATGAAAGAATTCCAAGCGACTGCTGGGTATAAAATCCAAGCTCTATTTATAGAGAAATCGAGGCTCAAATTCTCGCACCTCTTTGCCTCCCTCTGGGACGCAGCAGGCTAGAAGCCACCCTTGTTTTGCCAGGAGGTGCAGTTTC